CTCTCAGTTTGTTTTAAGTGGACCCATAATTCAAATTGGATACACAGAAATATTATTTATTGACAATTAAAAGTGGGGTCTCTCTGTCACCTCCCAATTTTTTATTTTATTTTATTTTATTTTTTAAATAAAAAAAAAATAATGAGGGGCAAATAGGGGATTTCAAGCAGAAGCCATTGAAATTTGAGCTTTCTTCTAGGGGACTCGTAATCCGCTGCAGATCAGTCTTTTACAGTCTTCTGGAATGTCTTTGGTAGTGGAGTTTGTGGTCAGGAATTTGGATTTTAGCGTGTTTGTGTGTAATTGATTAAGTTTTTATTTGTGGTCCAAAATCTATTGCTGTCTCAACAAGCCCAGTTTCTGATGAGGCCCATCAAGGCCCAGTATAGAATTTCTTCTTGTACCCAAGTTGATATTCATTCAGTCTCAACAAACAAACTGTTAGGATCAACAATTCAAAACCCAATTCTCCATCAAGCCTAACATACAAGCCCAAATGGGATTTCACTCTAAAACCAATTGGCAATAGAGGGAGTAACCCACTAAGCTTATATATTGAACTTGAACCCATTAATTTTCCGATGTGGGATTGGGTTCTCAAACAGAAGACCACATTGGGCCTCCCCTTAAACGAAATTCATACGATCCGGCTCCACGGGGAACATGCCACATCATCCACATCGTAATTGGGCTACCAACCGTGGCTCTGATACCAATTGTTAGGATCAACAATTCAAAACCCAGTTCTCCATCAAGCCCAACATATAAGCCCAAATGGGGTTCCACTCTAAAACCAATTGGCAATAGAGGGAGTAGCCCACTAAGCTTATATATTGAACTTGAACCCATTAATTTTCAGATGTGGGATTGGGTTTGCACACCCAACACAAACCAGTCTCTGTTTGTTCCTTCAACTTGAAGGCTAGAATCCTGCAGCCATTTTTTTACTCATTATTTTGTTATAGAAAGAAAAAAATTGAAGAGAAATAGAGAAACTCATCCGCTTTAATTTCTATAGTAAGCAAAAGAAAGTTTTGCACTTAACAAAATGCTGAACTGCTCAAGCTTACATTATAAGTTATATCGGGCCAGCCACTTCAAAGGCTACGGTGGGCTCTAACCCAATCTACTTTGTTAAATAAAGCAAGAAAACTAAGCCCAATTTTATTAAAGTAGCCCAGGTTATAGATTGGGCCCAAACCCAATTTCCTTTTTTTTTAAAAAAAAAGTGGTTCTTTGTAAATTTGGGTCCGTCTCGGGTTGGTCTCGTGCCTCTCAGCACTCGAACAATCCCTCTTAATCTTGTAAATTTGGGTTTTTTGTTATTTTTGTTTCATTTTTTTTTTTTTTTTTTTTTT